TGTCCCAAAAAGATGTGCACACTGTTTGATTTTGAATAACTCTCTTATTGTGAGGTCTTTCGAGAAGCGGTAAGCGCCGTTTTGTAGAGCTGGCTTCAACTTAGATTTGCAGTATGGAATGGATCACCGACCACTCTTCGTTACTGTAGGATTACGGTAGAAACTTGAAAGAGGGTTTTGGCCATGAAAGGCCATATTTTGCCTCAGAAAGGGAACAAAACAGCCTGAAAACTTTTACACCAGGCTAATTAGAATTACTGATCATAACTGTAAAGTTCCCAACTTATTATGATGCTTCATTGAAGAGTTATGCCAGGTGAGAGGTAGCGGCCTTTTTTTCAATGTTCCTAAAAAGTGCGGTTACACCGTTTTGAAAGCTCCGCAATCCTGAGAATAGTTGCGTATTGAACTCAGCGTCCCTAAAAACCCTATCACACAAGTTTCACATCTTTTTGAAAATTTTTGAAACGGTTTTCCACATTGACACCATATGTTTCAAGTTTCTACGCATTCCTACAGTAACGAAGAGCGGTCGGTGATTCGCTCTATATTGTAAATCTAAGTTGAAACCAGCTCTACAAAATGGCGCTTACCGCTTCTCGAAAGACCTCACAATAAGAGAGTTATTCAAAATCAAACAGTGTGCACATCTTTTTGAGACACCTTGTACAATCTCGTGTGAGCGGGATCCAGGACTATTATGGGCGGAGTTTGTCATATCATTCCACGATTTTTCTTCACTTCTATTGTAGGAAAACGGGAGTTCTATGATAAGATGTCTGATGTATCATGTTTTTGTTTGGAGGGGATCTGTAGGGGTGTTTACACCGCAGTTCTAATTTGGGCTGAATTCCGTTTTTTTATTATTAGAATTTGGCTATAAACTCTATGTAATTTACGATTCAGGTAAATGATTGTTGATCATCTTGTAGACCTAGACCTAGAAGACTTTGTGTTGCGGCTCGGTGGGCTCTGCGCCCCCTCACCTTGCGCTCGACTGCCATGCGCCACAGCTCCTGTCCCCGAAGGACTTCCGCGGTTGCGGGTGGGCCCTGCCCACAACGGCGCGTTACGCCTACACGAACACGAAACAAATAACATACATAAAATTTACTAGATAAATATGCACGACAAAAATATACGATATAAACAAATGTAAATATATATACCACGGGGAGAGTTAAGCTCTACCCCGGGCTACCGATGGGGACTCTGGCTTACTCACACTCACACACTAACACACTCTCACTCTCTCCCGGCATCCAAGGGAGCTACCCACAGGCCGGCCGCGCGCCGCCAAGGCAGCAGCTACGGCACGGCAACACCGACCCCATGATGTTAACCAGCAGCATCGAACCACGCTCCCAACGAATCCTGCGCGACCAAGGCGTTTCGTGATGTTCATCATCCTGGAATTCTATCCTCGCGCGTTCATCCAAACAATTCATCAACGATCCATCCAATCGCGCGAGGCACGGGGACGTAGACACGACGGCGATATCGTGGAAACCCAACCGATCAATAACAAAGGCGGCACGACGATAATAGTAAGATGATAAGACGAGAGAGGCCGCAATGGCGCGCGTGCGCGCTATTTATAGCGGTGGCTGGGGGCGTGCCTACGTGGTGTGGTCTCGGAGCGAACAAGGTAGCCGCCGTAAAGCGCGGCGACCGTGCTCACGACCGAGACGCGCGGCAGCACGGTGCTCCCGGCCACATGCTGTGAGGAGCGGTCGATCGCGAGCCGCGACACTCCCCCCACAACGAAAGGCATTGGGCGTTGCGGATAGATGGTTACGTGATAGCACCGTGACCTGGGGCAACTGCCTTAACCTAAAAATTTGGGCGATGATAGAAAAAAAAGAGAAACATACGGCATCGGTAGCGAGGGAACAGGCAACAACCCGCCCCGTGGTAAAGCACAAAAATAACACAAAACTACAGGCGCTTTGACGCGCAGGTGACTACTAGAATAAACCGGAGCGCTCAAGGCGCTTACCAAATAAATACGAACAATGATTAAAAATACTTCTACAGCTACTAAACTATGTACAACGTTTCAGGATAGACGCTCCAGCCCATAGCATCATCATCGCTCCATCTCGCCATCTCACCATCCATCTCGACCGGCGCTGATCTTGCTGCGCATCCAACCCGCATTACGTCCCTCGCACCATCAACATCTAACCACTCTAAATACACTCATACGTTCAACGTCGAGGGAGCGTAATGCCCGAAACAAAACCTACGGCCCTGTGAACCTACATGACGCGCGTCCTAGAACGCACACCCTGAAACAAAGGGAAACCTCCACCCTCTCTTAATTTTGACTTGATTTACGATAAAAAGCACAAGATAAAGCAAAAACTGAGGGGGTGTTGGCTTCCAGACGAAAAAAGTACTACGTCTCTCCCAAAACATCCCCAAATTTGTGCGTCTAGCACCCATCCGGACCGAATTGGACGAAGGTCCAGCCTCCCGCCGAGGACAAATGCCTCGACGAGGGGATCGACCCCGCAACTCAAGGACCCGGAGGTGCAGCACTGTGGGTCTGTTCAAGGAAAGACGGCCCAACCTATAGAGCAGGTGTTACAGGAGCCTGATGGACTGCTCGCAATGGCTCTATGGTCGGGACTTAAACAAATGAGACGGCGCGTCCGGCGACGGCTGCAACTTCCTAAAGTAGACTGTACCGCTAGGCTGCTCGACAGAGTAGCAATAATAAACAAATTAAAAAATTAGCGGAAAATTTAATTGGTGTTGACGTGTTACTACAATAGGAAGTATGGCTACGGAACTGATGGTTGACTGAGATGTTAGCGGAGCTTTACATGGCGCGATAGATGTTAACGCGCTCCACAAGTGCGCCAGATGGTTAGTTACTGGGTTAACTAGCGTGACAAATGTTACACGGTAAGTAGGCAAGGTACAAAAATATAATTTTGGAGGCGCGACAGTCACATGGATGTTACAGTGTAAAAAAAATTGACTGACGCGCAGATAAAAAACATTAGTAAATTTGAAAATGTAAGTGCAAAAAGGAAAAATCAAAACAAATTTTAAAAGTGATGTTGCCTACTAATACCGCTCGAGTCCACACTATCGCCCGACTGCGTGTCCGCCTGCGCTTCTTGTGAATTCGCCATATGTACTCGTCCACAAATTTCCATCAACTCCTGCCAGAAGTCGTCCTCAGACTCGCGCGTCGAAATTCCTATTCCCGCCTCGCCGTTAGTCCCATCATCCTCAAAATAGATCATCGTCACGAGGTATTCTAGGCTGATTAACGGCGCGTTCAAGCTGCGCAGTGAGACTTCCCTCTGGACGTTCCGACGATGAATCCATTGGCATAGGCATGATTAATACTCAGCGCGACAACTGAATGATGTTACGTACCTAACCCACCTACTTAGCGCGTTACGCTAAGTATGTACCGCACGTCGATGAAGAAGCGGGTTTACTATGCGCAAACTGAGTATAACTATGATCAGATGTTGGAATGTGAGCCAAGCTGACGACTAAGACACTACAGCGCGTGCGGGAGTAGGTGCTACCTACAGAACTATTCCAATTCGTCAAAATCGGATTACGCTGCATACCGAGAGTGTCCAAATGGGTGATGGAACGATGACACAACAAAACAGTAATGCAGACAAGAAGTAAGTTCGAGTATAAGCCAATCCAGATAAAAAGGGTAAATCCAAGAAGCACGACAAGAGCCGCGCGTATAACCACAGCCGGTGTTTAATGGCTACAGGTCCCTGACGTAACGTCCACGAAGAAGGTAGTATAAACGTGTATACGGGTCGCGCGTCAGGTAATTCAAGATGCAAGAAACAGATGCACTTCAAGGATGTGCTTGCCAATACACAGTGGTGGTCGCAGTTACACTAGCTGGCCAGGCAAGTTAAACATACGAGCAAGATGGTAACAACTGTGAGTAAACAAGACACAGTAGCCCTAAGCGCAACGATTGAGCCAAGCTACTACGGGCAAAAAATATCTGTGAAGCACGGTTGGCGCGCTAAGCGCGATATCTCGTCGAACGACGATACAACTCAAAAATACGACGATACCAACGTAGATGGTAAGGAAGTACTTCACTTGCCGAAGATGTAATCAAGTAAACTTGGCTTGAGATCTAGGTGCAGATGGAACGCACAACGAGAGCCAAGGCGCGATACTACTAAGAGTACTCACACGCAAGAAGAAGCCTATAGATGGGATAGGCAATGAGGAAAAATCTACACTGCGCCAACAGAAGATAACATACTACGAAAGGCGCGCTTACAGGATATAACATAAGAAATACCAGAATTGACGCGCAGTACAAGAAATATCCAAAAATGCGCGGATCGTGCTGACGCATGAACGATGTACTGAACGCGCGTAAAGAAAAAGCCGAGTTTAAGTCAAAGCCGAGTGAATGATAGTCTTGCAGGTAGCCAAGGATCAGACAAAAATTACAACTACGCAGAGCACTTACAGGAACAACTGCAGGGATACAGAGTAGACCTAAGATGGAACGTGCAGAATGTTCTGCAATGAGCAAGGGGATGTTGATAAGCTCACGGCTCGCGAAGTTGCAAGAAAAGCAAAAATACTGACTTGGCTAGGACACAGGCTGCAATGCGGTAGACAAT